CCCACCCGCCAGTCCACACCACAGCCTCCCGCGGAGTGATCCCTGTAGGGAAAGAAAAGGCGCCCACCCTTCCCGCGCACAGCTTGGCTCTGGTGGCCTCTGACATTCTGCCTAGCCGAGCGTTTCCTAATGCCTTGTGACCACTCAGGTGAGGCATGTAAAAGCCAGTCCGAGGGCCAGCAGGCGCTTTGGGCCATTATCTGATTGAGACACTGGCTCGGGTTTCGGAATGGTGTTTCTTTGTCTTTCTACTTAGCAAGTCAAAAGGCAAGCCGAGAATTTGAAGTGCTGACCAAATAGTTGGTGGAGGTATTCGGCGTTTTTGTTTTTGTTTTGTTTTTAAAGCAGTGACAACATCCCGTGACCACGGTTCTTTTGAGGAATAAGTTTCCTGCTAGTTTCCCAGTTGGCACGTGACCACAGTCTTTTTATAGGATTTCAGCCTCCTGATAAAATGAATGGACAGACTTCGACTGCCTTTTTTTTTTTTTTAAATGTTTGTCTCTGGCACCGTTGTAATGGAAAATCCCTAAATTGCCTGTGGAGCAAAACTGATTTCAGTGGAGCGAAACTGGAGAAACAGACGGAGGAAACCCAGACCGATTCAGTTAGGGACTTTTAAGAAGCCCATTCGGAGTCTCTTTTAGACACTTATCTGAAGTTACTAATAGGTACTTACCTAGAACTCTCAGTATCTTGTTTAGATTCCCAAATCTAAGACAATGATGTGTCAGTCTGGTGCTTTCAGTATTGTTGTGTGGACAATGGAATAAACTCTTCTTGCTTATACTAAAAAGTTCCTGGTTTGGTGACTTATTTATTTTGGACAAAGTTCTGTGATTTGGGGCTATTTTTGGTTTATTATCTAGGCCGGTAGAGTAGATTGTTAGAAACTAAATAGAACATTGTCGGGCATATCTCCAAGCCAGGTTCTTGGAGACTAGGGAAGTACCTAGGGGATTATGTAGTACCAGTCCCTCTTCTCCAACCTCTTTCTTCTCTTTTCCTTCTGTTTCAACCACCTTTTCTGTCCAGACTACAGAGCTCTAAAGAAAACTCCCATTGCTGTCCAGTGGATTCTGACTCATAGCTACCCTACAGGACAGAGTAGAACTGCCCCAGAGGGTTTTCTAGGCTGTAATCTTTATGGAAGCAGACTGCTCCATCTTTCTCCTGGGGAACTGCTGGGTGAATTCCAACCGCCGACCTTTTGGTTAGCAGCCGAGCGCTTCACCACTGCGCCACCAGGGCTCTAAGGCCTGAAAATAAGTTCCTTTGGTTTCAGAAATTGTTTTAACCGCCCCTCATTTCTCACCACACAGGCCCTGGATGTTCTGGGCATGTAAGTCCTGAACGTACATCTTTATTGAATGCTCACGGCACTGCTGAGGTCTCAGCCCCCTTTTACAGATGAGGAACTTGCTGGGGCTTAGGAAGGTTAGGTCTCTTTCTCAGGGTCACACACAGGGAGTGAGGGGCAGAGCCAGGATTCAAAGCCGGCCTGTGTGATTTGAGGGCAGTGGTTCTCAACTGGGGGTGATTTGGGTACTTCCCCCTACAGACACAGAAGACATTTGGCAATGTCTGGAGACATGTTTGGTTGTCACACCTGGGGTGGGGAATGCTAGTGGCATCTAGTGGGTGGAGGCCGACAATGTACAGGACAGCTCCCACAGTAAAGAGTTTCTGGCCCAAAGTGTCACTGGTGCCGAGGCAGAGAAACCCTGCTTTGGAGCAGTATGCAGAACGCCAGGGCTCGCTTTCTCTGCCGCTTCTGTACTTGGAATGCAACGCTGTTTTCCTATTTAGAATACCTTCTCAGCGTTTCAAGAAAAAGCAGAGTAAAATTCGAGAACCTAAAAGAGACTTCTCGTGATTGAGAGGCAGATTCGTTCATTTAAAAGAGTGAGTAAATAGTTTCTGAGGACAGAATCCAGTTTTTATTTTTAGACAAAGGTGTCAAAAAGAACTTGAGAGCTATACGGAACCGTCAAAGTGGACTGAGTTTAGTTCTGGCATTATTTCAGCCGTCAACAAACGTTTTTCTGGGCAGCCTGTCAGGCCTACAGAGGTGCTGGTGATCTGAAGAGCTATCGTGAGTCCCGCCTTCCTGCAGCTTACAGTCTCCTCACAATCCCGAGGGTCCTAGACGGGGTCAGGCGTTCATTACAAAACAGACAACGAAACCCGAATCAAAACGGCGCCCCACCTGGCAGGGAAGTACCTGCAGCATTGTGTTTTCTGTGAGCAGACTTAGATGAAATGAGGGGAAAGCTGCTGTGTTCTTTATAGCTCTGTTCAGTTAACCACCGGTGAACACTTACAGGAATCAAATTGAGAAGCCATTCTTGTTGAGCATAAAATTCTGCCTTCAATTTAGCCGCAGCAGACAAGGGCATGTGGTTTATCATTGAAATCAAGAACTAAGTGATGAGATAAAAAAATGACTTTGGCTTCATCTTTTTCTTTCTGGCGTTTTTTAGACTTTTCGCCATGCCTGGCTATGAGCAGGCCCTTCAAAACATGTACTCCCTTCGTTCTGGTGGCAAATGTGAGTGTAACCATTAGGTGAGCTTGGAGGGTGATTGAGAGGGGAGTCAAAAAGAGTTGGCTCTCTTTTTTAGGAGTCACTGTGAAGTTATTCACACAGCCATTGAAGCGTCTTTTTGTGGGTAGCTTTGGTTTTTGACTCGTGCTGATGGACAGGGTACTGTTCTAATGACAGCTTTGTCTGCCTACGGGAGCTGTCTGCTATGGGGTTGGGAGGATGCTAAAGTATACGCCTAAAATGATCGCTGTTGCATGGGATCTAACAAAGCCCTGTGTGTTCTTTCCTCACTGGAGTTTTATCCTGGAAGGGTCCAGAGGAATGGGCGGGGAAGAACTCACTGGCTTGGGTGGAGTCTGGCTCTATCATTTAGTTGGCTTGCTACTCTGGCCAAGTTAGGTCACCGGATTTCTTTCTTCGTAAAATGAGATGGTTGTACTTTATGATCTCTATGAGATTACATGGTACCAAGTAGAGACAGCACATTATTAGCTTCCAAGTGGTTCTGCCCCAGGCAATTTGTTGGCTAAGCAGCTGGAGGAAATAAGCCAAATAGAAGTGTGCATATGTGTTTGATATCTAATTTGAAAGCTATCTCAGTAATAAATTTGTTAGTCAAAATCAAGGGCTTGTGACTAAGTGGACCATCAACAGAGAACATTTTTTGGTAGTACTCACAAAATGCCTCAGGGAGTTTGATCGAAAACTGTGACACAAATGAAAGTTGCAGCCTGACAAGGAGGCCTCGAGTGACCTAGGTGCCTGGAAGAGGGGAAGCCTGGCTGCCTGGTGATGGGGGGTTCGGGAGGTCCAAGGCAGCCCCAGGTGGTCCTGGCCAGGGAGACAGGAGGTTCAAGTTGATGAGTGGGCTGGCGAGTTGGGTAACTTGGAGGAGAAATCACTGTTTCCCAATGTGATTCTTGATACTGTAAATGTGTGAAGTTGTGTTCAGGTATTGCCACATTCTGGATTTTTCCATTATGTACTTTTTGTTAATTTTTGACCATGGTGGGTACAGGTTTTAGAATGATGTTTCTGATCATGAACATAGAGAGGCTGGCTAGATATACCAAAAAAAAAAAAAAAATCTGTTGCTGTTGAGTTGATTCCAATTCACAGTAACCCCATAGGACAGAGTAGAACTGCCCCCTGGGATTTCCCAGGAGCAGCTGGTGGATTCAAACTGCTGATCTTTTGGTTAGCAGCCAAGCTCTTAGCCACTGCGTCACCAGGGCTCCGGCTAGATATAAATGAATATAAATAAAGTAACAGCTAGAGCAGCATGGGGTGGAGGGAGATGGGTGTGTATTTTGGAAAAAATACAAAAGTGAAGTAAGTATGGGTTGAGGCTTCACATTCTGGCCTTCCCTGAACCCAGCTCATTTCACGGAGGGAAGTCTGTGGACAGACTGCACTTTTGTCTTCTGCCTGATGCTTAACAAATGCATGCCATTGTTAGCGATGGAGAAAGAGTATAGAACGACTGTATACGTTCATTCCATTGCCACATTCATTAGCCAAGTGTGAAGAACAGCTGAACAGTATTAAAGAGCTGAACTAGTTTGTTTTTATTCCATGTTCTTCTGAATTGGATTGGGAGTTTTTATACAGAAGCTAAGGTAGTTAGTTACCAGAAGATTAGTTCTCGGAAGGGTGGCTGTGTTATCAGTGTTAGAGAAGCCTGAAAAATTCTCAACAGAATTCTGTTTCTAGAACTTGCTATGAAGAACTCTAACTGATAGGAGTGTTTAAATGAGTCTAACAGGTTCAAAAAAGTTCGAAATCTCTCTGTGCAGTTTCGCACTGTGTATTTGATCAGAACAGGGAGTAGGTGAGCGTTTCTGAAACACATACCTCTTTGAGTTGGACATCAGAACAGAATAACAACACTTTGAGGACCAAAAGAAAACCATACCCGTTGCCATCAAGTCAATTCTGACTCATAGCGACCCTGTAGGACAGAGTAGAACGGCCCCATAGGGTTTTTAAGGTTGTCATCTTTATGGAAGCAGACTGCCACATCTTTTCTCCTGCAGAGTGGCTGGTGGGTTCGAACTGCCGACCTTTTGGTTAGCAGGCGAGCACTTAACCACTGCGCCACCCGGGCTCCTTAAGTAGCTCTGAGTTTCCCTCAGAAATTCAACGTACCCTGCCCTGCCCCAGTGAATTTGTGGTGTTGCCTTGGGGCACCTCCACACACAGTTTGGAA